GCCGGATGCGAACCTGGGCCCTTTCATCCCGCAGGCCTACGCTCTATCCACTGAGCCAAACCGGTTTCGGCTTGACATTTTATTCTTTAAAAAAAACAATGCATGTTCCCTATAACAGCTTGACATTTGAACGCGGTGGCCTCAGTTTCTCCCACGGGGCATGGCTGCCGCCTGCCTGTCCTGGTTCCCGTGGTGGGCATCTGTCTTTGCCACGCCGGCTCCTTCCTGGCTGCTGAGGGCTGCGCTGCACGTCCGACCACAGCCCACCAGCCAGGCCCGCGTGGCGTATTTGGGTGGCTCCCCCTCCCGGCCCCCCTGGGAGTGTTGAGCACGCAGGGCTGTGAGAGGAAGGAGAGAAGCCCAGCCTGAGGCCACAGCAGCCTGTGGCATGAGGAGCCACCGAAGCTGCCTCCAAGGGCCAATAGGTGTCGCAGGCCCCGAGCCACCACTGTGTCCAGAATGCCGTCCCCACGTCATTGGCCAGACCTTAAATCCCAGGGTGGCCTGCGGACCCCAGCCCACTCTCCCTTCTCTTCCAGCCTCTTCCTGCCTCCGCAGACCTCGCCGGGTGGCTGGGTACCTTCCGGCTGCTCAAGGAGGCACTCACCTCTCTGTTGTCTCAGCCCCGAAGAGAGCATCGGATGTGCCTGGCGTGGGACAAAGCGTCCGCCTCCCGTCCACGACGTCGTGGCCAGGGCAGGGACTCGCCGCCACAGCCCACCCTGTGCTCCCAGCCCTTTCTGCCCCTGCCCAGCCCAGCGATGTCTCCCAGCCTTGGCTTCCCCTTAGGCCCAGACCCACTAAGGAGGCTCGGGGGCGGGCGGGGTCCCTGCCACCAGTCTGCTCCCCTCTCCCGTTTCCATGTATCACAGGAGCTCCTCCGTCTCCCCGTGTCTCAGAGGAGGCTATGGCTGGTGGCTAAGCCATGCTGGGGGCAGGGGCCCGACTCCTGACTAGAGCTCTCCCCCCGGGGCTGCCGCAGGCACATGGAACACACCTGGTCATCCTCACCCTCACTGAATGGTCACCGTGATGAGAAGTCTCAGGACTGTGCCCGCTAGACCCCGTCTCTGTTCCGGGGACTGGAGACTGGCTAGTCAACCCAGGGCCCCCCTGGGGCACCAACTGAGCTGAGCTGCTTTCACCAAGTATCCTGCCCTCCACCCGCCACAACTCTGCCTCAGTTTCCCTGGGTTCCTAGCCTGGCCCCTGGGCATGTTTTCCCACAACCACCAGAGGGCGGTCGAGGCTGCGAAGCCCTGTACGAGATGGAAACCAGGTCTGGTGCTGCCACCTTGAGGCCAACCCCCGCATTGCACCTTCTCTGGGCAATCTTCATTATCCAGGGACTCCATGTGCCCTTCTGTAAAATGGGTTTAGCACTCAAGGGTCTGAAGATGGGCAAGTAGAAGAAGCCACACCTCCCAGGGATAAGGGGCTCAAGCCAGTAAACCCTGCCCCATCTTGGTCATGTTCAAGTTCCCTATGGCCTTGATGGTAGCAGAGGGCCTGAGGTGGGAACCCTGCTGCTCCCTGTGGCCTTGGGCAAGCCCCATCCTTGCTCATCCTCCAACAAGCCCTTGGAGGCCAGCTAACCTCCCTGGGGTTGGCACCATCAGAGTTAATGCACCAGGAGTCAACATGTGAGGGACGTTTTTATGCAGCCAGGGGGTCTGCTGTCTGTTCTCAGAACACACTCCCTGCTCTGTTCCCAGCCAGGTTCCCGGAGCTCACGGTCAAGAGCGTCAGGGAGCAAAAATGCGAGAGTCCTGAGAGCAGCGAGAGCCCTCCTCCCTGGGCCTCAGAGGGCTCCCTGGGGAGGGCCAGCCACGGCCCAGGCTTTAGAGATCAGGAGGTTCCCGCTTGCTTATTTGTTTGTTAGATTGTTATATTTTTAAATTTCATCTGGATTTATGCAAATAATGTTTTCTGTACATCAATAGAACTGGAAGATTAAGTAAAAAGATGTACCAACGATCACCATCCCACCACCCAGTGATATAACCTCTTAAAATTTTTTGGAGTAAAGCCTTCTAGCTTAATTTTTAGGCAACCTACATAGAGCGCACATATATACTTATATTTTATGTTATTTATTGTTTTTTTTTATTGTTATTAATCCTCACCCAAGGATATTTTTTTCCATTGATTTTTAGAGTGGAAGGAAGGGGCAGAGACACAGAGAGAGAAACATCAATGTAAGAGAGACATATCGATTGGTTGCCTCCCTCATGCACCCTGACCAGGGCACCCTGACCAGGGCACCCTGACCAGGACCGGGGATGGAGCCCACAACCAAGGTACATACCCTTGGCTGGAATCGAACCCGAGTCCCTTCAGTCCTTGTGCCGATGCTCTAACCACGGAGCCAAACGGCTAGGGCTATATTTACTATTTTATATGTAATATATACTGTATATTTATATATCTAACAGTTAAATTTGGTGGCAAGCACTGTTTTAAGCTCTTCACACATATTACCTCATTTAATTCCTACAACATCCCTATGCAGTAGGTACAGATATTTTACAGATGAGGAGACTGAGGCATCAGAAAGGTTAAGTGAATTCCCTGGAGTCACACAGCAAGTGGCAAAGGGAGGATTGAACCGACCTCCTGGCTCCGGAGTGTGACCTTCAGCAGTGTCACATTGCTCCTCTCTCTCTAGATAAGTTTTTCTTTTATTTAAAAAAATTTTTTTTTATTGATTTCAGAGAAGAAGGGAGAGGTAAAGAGAGAGAAACATCAATGATGAGAGAGAAGCATCGATGGGCTGCCTTCTGCTCATCTCCAGCCCACAGTCTGGGCATGTGCCCTGCCTGGGAATTGAACCATGACCTCCTGGTTCTTGGGTTGATGCTCAACCATTGAGCCTCACCAGCCGGGTAGTTTTTATTTTAAATAAAAATTCAGATCACACAGGAGCCCCTCAAGCGTTAACTGTTTCAGATTAGACACTGTTCTCCCTCATGATTGTTGATGGGGTAGAATTCCATCCCACAGTGTTCCACTGGATGACCGTTCCCTGGGTAATGTAACCGGCCGAGTGGCAAGGGTTTTGTTGGGTGGCAGTGTCTAGTGGGGAGCAGGCGTTGTAGAGGCCTGAATAATGCCCCCCAATATACCCAGGTCCTAACCCTGGAGCCTTGAAAGTTACCTCATGTGGCAAAAGGGATTAAATTCACGACTTTGAGATGGAGCGAGCTTCCTGAATCGCCTGTTCCTCAAAGGTAACCACGGGTGTCCTTAGAAGAGGGAGACGTGACTGCAGAAGCCAGAGGCTGGGGTCCTGGAGGAGGCGGTCACAGCCCAGCATGCAGGCCCCCAAAAGCCGGGAGAGGCGAGGCATCGGCCCCGGCAGAAACCGCCCTGCGGACCCCTGCTCTCCGCCAGGGAAGCTGATGGTGGACCCTGGCCTCAGCACCGTCAGCGTGGTGTTGTTTAAGAACCCCGTTTGTGGTGATTTGTCAGCAGCCAGAGGCTCCGGACACACACGGCCCCTGGGAAGAGAAACCGCCACAGCAGCGGTTCTCACCTCGGCCACACATGAGAATCACCTGGGGATCCTTTTAAAATCCTGATTTCTGGGCCCCATCCTCCGGAAATTCTGTGTCTTTGTTATGGGGTCCGGCCACAACATGAGTAACAAAGACACAGAATTTCCAGAGGATGGGGCCCAGAAATCAGGATTTTAAAAGGATCCCCAGGTGATTCTAATGTGCGGCCGAGGTGAGAACCGCTGCGCTACAGCAGCCTGACCCCGACCCTGGATGGGCCAGCCCCCGCCCGTCAGTGTCCTCTGTGAAGTGAGGGGTGGGCTCCTCGGCAGGTGCTGGCGAGGCCAACGCCCTCTCTCAGCCTCCGAACTGCGGTGGGGACATAAGTGCCTCCTGGGCCACAGGCTGAGCTGGTGGGGGCAGCAAGTGGTCAAAAGCGGCCGTCCCTTTGCGGCCACTACCTGGCCGAGAGCCAAGAGCAGGAGGCCTGGGTCTATCTTGCTCCCCCGGGGGACTGGGCCGGGCCTCGCTCGCCTCAGTTTCCTCGTTCTCGGCTCCTCCCTGTCCGCGTCACCCCCCTTCTGCCCGTCCCATCCAGCCCTGGCGGCCTCTCCGGCCCCGGGCCTGGGCCTCGCTGGTCTGCTCCAGCTTCTCGTCCGCCCGGAGGCCAGGGAGCAAGGTCCGCACTGGGCAGCGGGCCGGGCTCAGGGCTGGTCCTCTCACCCTTGCCCTGCATTCCAGCCCCATCAGACCGGGAAGATGGGCAGCCCAGCCAGGAGCTGAGGCTGAGAACATGGCCTCAGGGTCAGCAAAGCTGGTTTGACTCAGCTCAGCATTTTCCCGGCATGAACCTGGAGGAGTCCTTCCCTCTGAGCTCTAAGGAAGGCTCTGGGCCCCTCTTGCTCGTGAGGAAACTGAGGCTCAGAGGGCATGAGATCTGCCCATGACCCCACTGCCACGGTGCCACGGTGCCACGGTGCCACGGTGCCAGGATTGACTCACGTACAGGTGCCCCCCCCCCACCAGGTTCTCTGCAGCCGCCTGGCACGGGAGAGCAGCCAGGGGCTAGGGGCCCCTCGGGGAAGGTGCCCAGAAGTGGACCATGGCACCGTCCCAGCCCCTGTGCAGCCCCCTGCCTTCAGCCCCAGGCATGCAGCACAGGAATTACCTCCTAGAACTGCCAGGGGCTCACCCAGCTGGTGCTCCATCAGTGTCATTCCCAGGAATTAGAGGTGACCTTTCACCTCTAGCTTCCGGAAGGAGGTTGGCGTGGCTCCTCCACCCCCAGCCACCCCACCGGCTGGACTTCCTTTCAGACGCCAGAGATCCCAGGCCCATGTGAGGCGCCTCACTGGGAGGCTGGAATGAAGAGCATTTCGGTGGAAATGACTAGTGTGTCTGGAATCCTGGAGGGGAGGGAGCTGGGGGATGAAACTGCTTATTAAGGACCAGACATTTCCACTCAGGCTCCGCTGACTTTCCATCAGGCAAATCCGGAGGCCAGGCCCGCAGTGCGCTCACTGGGCTCAGCGCCAGGTGTCAGCGGGCAGCCTTCCTCCCGGACGCTCCAGGGTGGAATCTGTGGCTGGCCTTTTCCAGCTCCGAGAGGCGCCTGCAACCCTGCACTTGTGGCCCCGTCTCCGTCCTCAAAGCCAGGGACCTGGCAGAGTCCTTGCCTCCCCTCTGCCCCCTCCCGCCTCCCTCTCCCACCCGAAGATCTTGTGATTCCTCGGGGCCACTCAGGTAACCCAGGCTCATGCCCCTATTTTAAGGTCAGCTGATCAGCAACCTTCACTCCACCTGCAGCCTCAATGCCCTTGGCCATGCCACCTAATTCCCTCGACACCCTGGGGAGGGGCGCCATTCTGCCTACCACACCATGAGACGTCTGGATGGGTTTCCGTCAACTAGTAACTGCTCATTCGCAGCAAGTGGGTGCCCAGCACCTGCTGGGAACAGCAGTGAAGAAAGCCAACACCCAGCTCTCACGGAGGAGGCAGACGCTAAACCCAGGAGTGAGGAGAGCAAGCAGTAGAGTTGGTGGTGAACAGCTAGGGAGAAAGCCAAAAGGACGTGGGGCTGGTTGGGTGGGGAACAGGTTACATTTGAACAATTGTTTTTATTTATTTATTTTTTTAGAGAGAGGAAGGGAAAGGGAGAAAAACATTGATCAGCTGCCTCCTGAACACCTCCTACTGGAGATCGAGCCCGAAACCCAGGAATGTGCCCTGACTGGGAATCCAACTATGCGAACCATGACCTCCTGGTTCCTAGGTCGATGCTCAACCACTGAGCCACACCGGCAGGGCCACAAGGTTACCATTTTATTTTATTTTATTAAAAAAAATATGGAACGCTTCACGAATTTGCGTGTCATCCTTGCGCAGAGGCCACGCTAATCTCTGTATCGTTCCAACTTTAGTCTCTGCGCTGCCGAAGCGAGCGCCAAGAGGTTACCATTTAAACAGGGAGCTGGGCGAAGGCGTGGTGAGAAGGGACCTGCGAGGAGACGGAGCGAAGGAGGGATGAGGGAGACGACTGGAGGCAGGCGTGGTGGGCTCAGAGCTTTGGCCACGTCAGAGCAGCTCCCAAGGTTAACTTCTGAGCTTGAGAGAACTGAGGAGAGCGGGTTGGGGGCGAGGGGGCACCAACTTGCCAATGATTGGGAGGTGATTTATGCCTGTGACCCTGACCACAGCTGGGGAAAATGGCATATTAGTTTCCTGGGACTGACAACTCACCACCCAGCCGGGGCCTAAAACAAGCCCTGCTCATAGCTCAGGAGCCGCAGCCTGAAATGCAGGTGTCGGCAGGCCGTGGCCGCCAGCGTGGGACCCTTCCTGACGGTGCACCGCTCCGGCCTCTGCCTGTGGTCACGGGGCGTTCTCGGTGTCTCCGTCTGTGTCGGAATTTCCCTCTTCTGTGACACCAGCCACTGGGTTGGGGGCCCACCCTAGTAAGGTATGACCTCATCTTAACTGGGATACTTTGCAAAACTCTGGTTCCAAATAAAGCCACATTCTGAGGCTCCCAGTGGACACACATTGGGAAACAGATGCTAAATCAAGGAGAGCAAGACACACCCTCCAGCCCCATACGAGTGCTCTGTGCCAGCTCCCCCGGGAGCACACTTCCGTGCCTCCCCACAGCCTCTCGCCACTGTCCCTGACCCATGGCACCCAGGCTCTCAGAGCGTGGACCGTTATTTCATAAACATTTTATTGAATACTTTGTGCATCGGGCACTCTCCTAGGGCTGCAAATACAACCCCGCCCCCAGTGGCTCATCCTCTCCTGGGGTGACAGGCAGAAAGCAAATAAAGCCAGGTGGGGCCGCCAACATCTCCAAGCAGGAGACAGGCAGGAACCAGGAACCGACTGGGAGGCTGGGGAGGGGCAGCCATGAGGGGAAGCAGGTGGTGGCTGGAGCCGCTTCAAGCAGGAGGGAGCGGCCAGCTTTGCAGGAGGGGCTGAGTCAGAGGACTGAGGGGGACCGCCAGTGGCCCTCAGAGCACCCCAAATCCAACGAACACACATTTTAAAGGAGGTGCATCTCTGAGAAACATGGGGGGGGGGTTGGCTTTCTTGTTTTTTATGATGAAAAAATTGGGCTCATTTTCTAACATGGGAACACCCCCACACCACCCAATCCCAGATCAGAAAAATCATGCTCTGTCATCGGCTTTCAAACAACTTTATTAGAGGCTGTTTTAAATGACAACTCCCAATTCTTCTTAATTTCTTTTTCACAAATTCCAGTTAGAACTATGTTTATACAGGACAGTCATTTTTGCATTGATCTTTGCGTCCTATTTAAACTGGCTTTCCCCAACCGGCCAAGGACCCTCTCTGGGACCAGGGCCCCCCCTCCACTCCTGGCCCCTTTCCTGTCCTTGGACAGATGTGGGCGGTGGCAGGAAGGCCACCCCCACGACCTCTCCTCACCCTACCTCTTGGGTGTGGGAAGGTACAATCAACCATGAACATAAATATGAATAAAAAATGAACTTGAAAATGACAGGTTATTAATTAAACAAATCTATAAAAATAGTTAGGACATGACTCTGTTCAAATAAATACGAAATAAATAGGCTCGGAGCAGAGATCCGTGGCATCAGTGGAATGTGCGGCTGGTCCCACCGCCCCAGCTGGGATTGGACAGGAATCCCGGGGCCGCAGGGACAGACTGTAATGCATCAGCCAAGCTCTCTACTCGCTCTGTCTTCCCTGCAGAAGCTCAGGGCTTGCACATTTGTCCAGTCTGTCTTTCTGAACAAAACCCTTCCTCAAAAACACCTAATTAAGGCCCTCAAGCCCTTTTCCTTCTCAGGGCACGCAGACATGGGGCCGAAACCTCCCGTTACCCCACACCCCACTGCCTCATGCCAGAGCAGGGACAGGGAGCTGGATCTGAGCTGGTGCCAGTCCTGACAGAGCCCGGAGCCAGCTCAGAGCACCAGGAGGCCCCAGCAGCGCAGGGCAGAGGCCTCTGGGCTCCGGGGAAGCCATGCACCCGGTGCCAGGCAGCCAACGGCGGGGCGGGGCCTTGCCCCTGCATGCATCGGCGCCCCTCTGCCGGTGAGCACAGAGGGGGTGGGCACACTCCCAGGCTCCTCCCTCTCCCTGCACAACCTAGCTGGGCGTGAGGTCAGGTGGAAGCACCTTTCCCCGGGGACTGAGGGGGAGGAGCAGGCGGGCATGGGAGTGGGCTGGTGGCCCTCCTCCTACCATACTCAAACAGCAGTGAGGAAGAGGCAAAGTGGGCACAGGGCAGATGCCCAGCAGGCCAGAGGGAGGGGCCTATGGCCCACGGTCTGGGTGGGAAGAGGAGATGGAAGAACTAAGCCGCCTCCAAGCCCTGCTGTCTGGCAGGCCCTGCAGGAAACATCCGGTCTCTACTGCGCATCAGCTTGAGTCCTGCTGACCCCTGGACCCGAGGGATACCCACGGGCCTTCCCTGGAATGGACACGAGGGTGGGCCATGGTCAGCAGGACAAGCCCAGTGGGCCTGCCAGCTCCCCCACCCTCCCTGCGGTGCGTCCCAGGGGTTTCACAGCTTGGCTTAAGTCAGCTTAGTGTCGGCACATTCACAGAATGAGATGGCTACACATCCCGGGGCTGCAGCCCAGGATCAGGAGTCCGCCGGGCGGCTGTCCTCCCTCCCGTCACCGAGACTGCACGCCCAGGGTGATCTTCAGGTTCTCGTACACCACGTAGCTGATGCTCACGGCCGGGATCACCTTCATGAAGTTGGGGGCCAGCCCCCGGTACAGGCCAAAGGCTCCCTCGGTCCGCAGGATCTGTTTGAAGAGGCTGCTCATGGTCACCTCTGGAGCGCCCTCAATGGAGGCTGCAGAAATAAGAAAGGTTGTCCATCAGAGGCCTTTCGCCGGCTCTTCCCTGGATCCCAATCTTCCCAGGGAGATGGGCCCCCGGGGACCGGTCTAGGACCAGCCTTACCTTGGGCCTGCATCCGGGTCCTGACCAGGGCGAGTGGGTAGCTGGCCAGCTGGCCACAGGTGCTGGACATGGTGCCACAGGCCAGGAGCACAAACACTCCAGGGTCTGCGCTGTTCACGGCATAGCGCTGCAGCCAGGCATTCTTGAGTGTCTGCAAGGGTAAGGGCGCAGGGATGAGCCAAAGTGCCAGCGAGAGCTTGCAAGGCCGTGAGAGGCCGGAGTGAGGGGGGGAGTGACGACATTACTGGACCCGTCACATGAATCTGTGAGGCCTCTGTAACCCGATTCGCTTGGCCTGGGCTGGCTGAGCTCCTGGCTCGCCTGCCTTTGTTTCTGCTGTCCCTGGGGATTCCTGGGTCAGGCAGGAACGGGGATGAGGCAGAGGCAGCAGGGCCTCGCCCCCCAGAGAAACTGACTTCTGTCGCCTGGAGTCTGCTGGGGCCCAATGAGCCCCCAGGGCATGGGCTCTGGAGATCTGCCTGCCAGGCACCTGGGGCGGAACTCGGGGCTGCAGGGGACCTTGCAGTGAGTCTGAGTGGATGAGATCTCTTTGGTGCTGTCCCCGTCCCACCATCCCCAGCGGCTGTCAGGCATGGAGACAACAGGTGGGGACGTGTGAGAGGGGGTTTCTGAATCTCTCCTGCCAGTTCCAGGGGCCTGAGCCCTCTCGCGCCTCACCTCGTAGACAGCCAGGTCTATCCCAGCGTAGGGGATGATGCCCAGCATGTTGGGAACGTAGCCTTTGTAGAAGGCGGCCATCCCCTCTCTGGCCAGGATCTTCCTGGCACAGTCCAGCATGCCCGAGTACTGGCCTGTCTTGCGCAGGGCCATCCGGGTCTTCAGAACCTGCAGGACCCAACAGAAGCGACAGAGTGTGAGCACGGCCCACTCCTCAGCCTCATCCCCACGTGCACTGCCCGCCCCATGGCACCCTGGTCCGCCCACGACCAAGGGGGCCCCTCACCTCCATCGGGTAGATGCTGCTCTGAGCGATGGCCCCTGCCAAGGACCCTGCCACAAGCCTCTCATGAATCCTTAGAGTCTCCTGGTCACTCCCAACAAGACGCTTGATCTACAACAGGGAGCAAACAGACCGATATACCCGAGACCAGCGCCCCCTCCTGCCCCACCTTCCTCACGTAGCCAGCCAGGCTTAGCCCAGACATGGTGTCCCGGGCCCATGTGATGCTTCCCAGAAATAGAAGGAAATGCCCACAGTGGAAATGGCAGCAGCGACGGGATCAGACCCAGGCCCCCCCGCCCCCCGCCCCCCCGCTGCCCCTTGCCAATTGACAACACTACCTGGGGGGCGGGTCCTCACCTGCTCGTAGGCCATGAATTTGATGGCCGATTCGGGGGCAATTTTGATGACGTTGATGCCGTTGCCCCGCCAGAGCGACCTGGCCCCTCCCTCTCGGATCATCTGGGTGAACCCGCCCACGATGCACATGTTGTTGCTGCGGGAGGCGTGGACCTGGAGAGGGAAGGACGGGGTCAGAGAGAACTCGGCCGTCGTCCGACACAGCCTTCTCTCCACGGCCAGCCGTCACGGTGGGCGGGCAGGCTGTTTCCTCTCGGATTCTGAAGCCTAACTAAGCCTGAGAACCAAACAGCCATTCCAGGCCCCACGCCACACCTACTGCGTGCCAGCACTGTGCTAAACACCTCCACAAGGACCACTTTTTAAAATTTAAAAAATTGAACTGCCCTGGCCCGGCGGCTCAGTTGTTTGGAGCGTCATCCCGTGTACCAAAAGGTTGCGGGTTCGATTCCTGGTCAGGGTGCGTGCCTAGGTTGCAGGTTCAATCCCTGGTTGGGGAGCATAGGGAAGGCAACCCATCGATGTTTCTCACATCGATGTTCTCTTGCGTCTCTCACGCTTCTGCTCTAAGAGCAATAAAAACATCCTCGGGTGAGGATTTAGAAGAAAAAAGATCGAGCTTGAGCTTTTTATTATGGAAAGATTTCAAATATTACAACAGCGCAGAGAATTATATAATGAGCTCCCATGAACCTTGATCAGCTTCCACACGCACGCAACCACAGCCAATCCGCTCCCGCACTGCCCCACCCCTGCTGGGTTACTTTAAGGCACCCAGTGGGATTGTGTCATTTCACTCAAGTGAAATGCTTCCGATGTCTACAGCATCCCTGGGGATTCGCAAAGAATCCTGACAAGGAAGGCAATGTGTCTCAAGCCTCTTCGGCTCAGAGCAATGAGGTCCTGGGGCCAAGGGACTCGCCCGAGGTCACACAGCTCTAGGCCTACATGGGGTCAGATTCCAGGCCTAGAGCCCTTCTCCCTGAACCACTCCACTTCCCTGTTTCAGTCAGTTATTCATCAACAGGCTCCAAACGCAGGCAGGCCCAGGAGGGCAAAGGGGAGGGAGAGGATGACGTCTTCTCTGAGCAGGAAGGTGCCAGAACAAACAGGGGGACAAGGAGCGACTGGCCACTGTTCAGAAGACGCCAAAGTCCAACAGGGAATGCTGTGCAGGTTGATGCTGAAACCCTGCCCCTGACGTGGATCTAGCTTATCTCTGTCCTAGTGGAGTCAGGCCTCTGGCCAGAATGGTGTCGGGGCCAAGTGACCATCTGTTCACACCTTCCCCCATGCGACACCTACACAAGTCCTACAGAAAGGTTCCTGCCACACCCCATCCTCACCACTTTACCAGTCACATTACAGCCCTGTAATGTGACCCCTGGCTCAGGGCCTCCGATAAAATTAGATCAGCTACGTGCATTGCCCAGGCCTGGGTCTAATGTTGCCCTTGTCTGAGCAAGAATTCCAATCTAACTTATTGGGATAGAAAAAATATGGGTGCAAAGAGGGCCCCAGACAAGGGAGGGGCGGGGAGACCAGCCCACCAAAGCAGCCCAAGGGTGGACACCAGAGGTTTGGGGCCTATTTTCCTGCGTACCTGCATGAGCACCTTGAGTCTGTCCAGGGGGGCCGTGCAGGTTCTGGATACGGCCCCGGCCCCACCTCCAGCCACGAGGTGTCTCCACCACATCCCCGTCTGCCTCTCCTCCACGGTGAACTCATCGGGAACTGTCAGATTCTCTCCCACATCAAAGATCTGCAGGGAAGACCCAGAGATCAAACAAGCAGGCCCTGACGCGTGTGGCCAAGCTGCTGCTGGACAGCAGGTCCATAACCTTCCACCGTCTAGAAGGGGCCACCCAGGGGGTAGATTGCCAAGGACTCTGGGCAGGAAACTGATGCACCAGCCCAGTCCCCCTCCCCCCTCCATGTGAAGGTGGCAAAGCTCTGGTCCCTGTCTGTGGCCTTCGGGAGCCCAGGTGTGCCATGTGAGAGCACAGCTGGAAGGAAGCAGCTACAAAACCCCGCAGACAGACTTCCTGTGGCTGCCAGGGAGCTCCTGCGGGAACAGCTTACTCAGGCGTTTGAGCGGAGGATCGCCAGGCTGGCTGTACTGAACCCATCAAGCCAGGGGTGAAAATTCTGCAACCTGATGTGTAATCAGACCGCACTGGCAGAACATTATGTAAGGCCTCAGCAAATACGAGGGGGCGCGATGCCTGCGCGTCACCCTCTCTCTGGGTGGCATCCTGGCTGGTCAGACAGAGCCAGCTCTGCCCAGACCTGGGCTGCAGGCCAGACCCACGGTCAGCAGCCCACATAACTTCACCCAACAAAGATGCCAGGTGTCCCGAGGGTGAGGCCCTGGCCTGGGCACTGCAGGACACTGACCAGGAGGATCACCTCGGCCTCTGCTCCCAGAGCTGACAGCCTGGGGCGGATCAGACTAAAATCGAGGGGGTGCTCAGAGAGGGTCGCATCCCGCATGCAGGAGGCCCGAGGGCAGGGAGTCAGTGCGGCCACTACCAGTGAGGACAGCTCTGATGAGACGAAGAGCGTACGTGCGGTGGTGGGAACATATTCTTTTGTCACAGAGAGAAACAGCACACAAGACGGGGCAGTGCGGGGAGACACCGAACAGCTGTGCCATTTGCTCCCTGGAGAGAGCCCCACCCAGAAGGCTCACACTGGCTTTGGGAGAGCAAGTGTGATCAGGGAGGGGTGAAGTGGGCCTTGAAGAACAGGCAGCCCATAGGGACAGACGGGCACCGCTGGCAAAGGAGCCCTGTGTTTGGGGAACGGTCAGGCCATCCAGTGGGCAGGCGTGTGGGGAACGGAGGAGGCATGTGGCGGGCTCTGTGGGGCTGGCAGAGGAGTGGACAGTCACGCTGTTGAAGGGGAGGCAAGCTGAGACTCCTACTCCCATCCCCACCCGGGATGGGGACTGAGGCTGGGCAATGGGACCCGTGAACGGACAGGGAGAAACGGCCCCCAGCTCCGGGCACGGGGCTCACCGTGGAATGCTTCCAGTACAGAATGATCTCGGGGATGTTCTCCACGGGGTGCAGGAGGTGATAGTCTCTCCACTCGTTCCAGTCGATGGTCATCGTGCCGTTTTTATCCATGCTGCAAGAGGAACGCACGGTTGCCCACGTGTGAACAGGCCCCACCTGTCAGCCGCACTTCCCCTTCCCGGTGAGCCAAAGGCAGGCACACGGCCACCGAGGACACCACGGAGGGTGCCTCTGCCCGAGGAGAAAAGGCAGGGTGGCTCCACACTTCACTTGGCACAAAAATGGGCTAGAATGACCCACAGGAACCCCATTCTGATCGGGCACAGAGGTTAAGGAGGGAGGCAGTCGCCAGGGTGACACGGATACTTACTAGGTGACAGGGCCCCAGAAGTGGCCCGTTCGTATTCTGACAGACAGACAAAGGAGGATGCAGAGGAGAGAGGAGAAACAAGACAAGTAAGTGCTCGAGGAGAAGTCACTGAGGCAGACGCACAGCACAGCACGAGGATGCGCCCCCACGGCAGCCGGGGAGAGGGCACAGGACGGGGAGAGGCCCAGCCAGGAGAGGAAGCGCTCCTGGGGCTCTTCTGTGCAACCTCCCAGCACAGCAGCTCTGCTACCCCCAGGACCACGGCTCACCTCAGACCCATCTCTGGGGGCAGCGCATCCGATGATGGCGTCAAGTCCACCTTAAACGGCAGCCGGGGAGAGGGCACAGGATGGGGAGAGGTCCAGCCAGGAGGGGAAGCGCTCCTGGGGCTCTTCTGTGCAACCTCCCAGCACAGCAGCAGCTCTGCTACCCCCAGGACCACGGCTCCCCTCAGACCCATCTCTGGGGGCAGCGCATCCGATGATGGCGTCAAGTCCACCTTAAGTGGAGGGCTGCCGTGTGAGCCCCTCCCCTTCCCACCAGGCAGAGAAGGGTGCTCCCTGCTGCCTTTCACCTACTTCACCCCCCCACCCCTACTAGTCTTTTTCTATGGGGTCACTGTGAACAGGCACACTTCCAGGTGATCAGGGATTCTTCAAACAAGCGCTGACTAGCAACCTGGGGAAGGGTTACTCATTCATCCTTTCAAACTACCAGAAGCCAAAGTTCAGAGAACAGGGTTAGCACAGTGAAAGCCACCAGAGTCAGCCCAAGAACGCTGCTTTCGTCACACTGTGTTTGCAGTGGGCCAGATGCAGAGACGGGCTAAGCGCTCACCTCTTGAGAATCTTTTCTGCCTGCTGCTCGGATATCTTGACGCCCAGGTCCCGCAGGGACTGCACGATCTCCTGAGAGTCGATTCGCCCTGCAATGACAGAGGCCGTGAGCGGGAGCCAGGCCCACGGAGAACCCACGCGGCCAGCCACTGGCTCCGGAGGCAGCGCTCACCATCATTCTTTTTGTCCAAACTCTTGAACACTAGCCTCAGTTTCTTCTCGTGATCTTGGAGGTAATGGACGAACTCTTCAAAGTCCAGCTGCCCATCAAGGTCTTTATCGCCAGCTTGTACAATTTTCTATGGAACAGAAGTAAAGCTTTATCCTTTAGCTCATGCACCAGCTTGTCCCTCGTGACGCCGTGTCCCCAGGAAACAACTGCACTAACCCGTGAACATAGGTGGCCCGGATGACCCAGAGGCTTCCCAGAGCCCAAGAACCCACCTTGCAAAGAAAAAAGCCCCCCCCACACACACACACCATGAGGAGCCCTCAGGCAGAGGCGTGCAGTGACAGGCTTGGTGAGTTCTCATTCCAAGTGTTTTAAAGACCAACTTGCTGTACCGCCAGGGTCAGCTGCTTGGCTCCCCTGCAGCGCTATCCCCTGGCGCCAGGCCTCAGCCACATGCTCTCTGCCCAAATGTGTGGATAGGCCTGGAGCTCCAGATTCCACCAGGAACGCCGCAGCTAGCTCTTTTTTCCCCACAGAATCTTTTTTCACAGGGACAGTGGCCCAGGGACAAGCGGGTGGCCGGGGTGAAGGTAGGAGGCAGAGCTGGCCCCTGCCCATGCTACTTGACACAAATACAGCCAAGAGAATTCTGGAGAAGCAGTAAGAGCCCCCAGGGAACTATTTTGGGGCATAGGCTTGATGCCACGGCCAGTCTCTGATCTCAGGGGGAACTGATGATATAACCAACCTCAGCTCCCTCAACCAGGTACTGAACAAGCGTGCTGCTTAGCTTCGTGACCCAAGAGGCTTGAAGAGACCCTGAGGTTCTAAGCCACGGGTCCTGCTAGTGACCTGCTGAGTCCTCACAAACAGCTCTAGGAAGGATGTACTATCATTTCCCCACTTCACAGAGAAGGAATCAAGCTCAGAGAGGTTAAGTCATCTATCCTAGATCACACAGCTAGGGAAGTGGCGGGCAGCATTCAAGCCAGGTTTGTTGGACTCCAAGGCCGCCTCCCTAGAGATCCTGCTGGGTTAATCTGAAGAAGGTGGAGCACATACATGAGTCACCCCAACCCAGCAACACCCCAAACTAGGAAAAAAACCTCCCAGGGAAAATGGTCATCGTCTTCCTGTACTGCCCAATGCTCCTAGTGCAAGCATGTCAAACTCACGACCCATAGGCCGCATGCCCCGTATAATTGGCCCGTGTTAGCCTTTGAGTTAGACATGCTTGTCTTAGTGAGAATCCATTCACTATCCACAAACCAATATGGGTTTCCAAGTCTTTTGACCAATAGGTTTGGGAATTGACAGATCACTGGCTAGCTGGGGCTCTCCAACGATTACAATCAGTCTCTGAAATCACCTGATGGCTCTTGGTGATTGCTCAGCCACCACGGGTGCTAGGAGGAGGCCTGGGCAGATCCCAGGAACATCGCAGTGGGTGTGGCTGGGATGTGAAACCAATGCTGGTATTTTATCTACTATCTGAAGTTATGCTAACTTCCTGTAGACTTCTGTGCTCTCAGCCAACAATTACGTATAGGATTGTCACTGTAGATTTACGGCAAGAGCGGAAACAGAATCTACATAATCTACATGACATTTAGGGAGGAGGTGAATGGTAGGCATGAAGCTCTTTGGTATCTGGCTGCTCTGCCACCAACGCAAACCATGTGCCTTATTGGGGTGGGTGCCCTGATTTCAAAATCTCCCAAGTCCTTGCTCCCACCTCAGAACAACTGGGCCTACTATCTGTCCCCTTCCCAAGATACGCTAATCCCCACGCCCTGCACACCATCTGACCTCCTCTGCCAGCATGAGCGCTGGGGACAGCACGGGAGAGGGTTGACAGAGAAGTGGGGGTACCTCTTGAGGAGGCAAGCAATCGCCACGGTCTATAGCTGCTTTCCCATCTATAAAATGGTAAGGGCTTCTGCTGCCTCCCTGCTCCAAAGGGACATCTGGCAGGCTTCCCTCACCACACACATTGGCTGGTCCCACGCAGGCACAGCCTGCAGCTGCAGCCTGGGTCTCCAAGGAGAAGCCTCTGCCCCTCCCTCCTGTGTCTGCCTGGCCTCCTCCCTCCAGCTCAGAGAAACAGCCCCGCAGCAGCTGGACCGCACCTCCCTTCTCAGGCCCCCCTCCCACCCCTCAGCAAGGAAATTCCTTTGCATTCCTCCCACAAGTGCCTTCCCTAGAACGCAAGCCTTCCTCGGAAGTCACGTGAAAGCCAGTCATGCCTGTGAAGTAGCCTTGTCGCTGGCTGCCACCACATGTCAACGGGGGGCGGGGGGGAGGGGGGAACTCCCCCGTTTCTCGGGTGTCACCACTACCAGCACCCGTCCCTCACTCAGCCAACACTGATGAAGTGCCCGCTGCCTGCCCCGCCCCCATACACACCTGCTTCCACTGGCGGAAGGTGGAGAACTCCTGGGAGGGGATAAAGACACTGAGTTTGAAGATGGACTTCAGCTCAGAGGGAAGCCCCTTGGACTCGAAGTACTGGAACTCGGTCTGAGCCTCCCCGATGACCGGAACATACAGGCACAGGCAGAGCATGCTGACGGGGAGAGCCGGCGTTCAGCTGCCACCCAAGCAGCTCTGGCGGCGGAGGACGGAGAATGCTGCCGGCCGGCAAACTAGCGCCAGATATGCCGGGGCGCGGCCGTCATTGGCGGCTCCAGCCCCGCCCTTTGCCTTAATTGGGAAAGCCCCGCCCACTCTAAGTCCTGCCAGCAGCCAATCCGCACAGAGCCCTAGATTGCACAAGAGGCGGCGTGAAGATCGGCACTGGCGTCACCGCTCACCGGTTAACTCTTCCAAGACAGGCAGAGTCCAAACAAACCTTCACCCCCCGGCTGCCGGCCCCTCCAAACGCACCAACAGCCGTCAGCCTGTTCTTTCACAAGGTCCCCGAACACGTCACACAGTACAGTGACCTCCCCCCGTAGTCAATCGTTCCCAACAGAAAAATAAGTGGATATTGAGATTAAATCAATGCTCACTGACAACGGGCCCAGTCCGGCTGTGAGGGTCAAAGTGGGGTGTGGGGTGGCTGAGGTCCCGAGCCTCCACGACGTGGCCACACCTGGGCTACAGGGCAATCTAGGCACAGCCCTGACCTGCTCCAGGGACCTTTTCCAGGCCGCTCCGAGCCCTCAGAGTGGGCACCCCAGGGCCCGCCCATCCCCCTGCAGGCTTCCCCGGGGGAACCCACAGCACTGAGGCGCTGACGTGATGGGGACAGGAAGAGGACACTCCTAAAAGTTCGTTGTACGAAGGGGCCCCCAGCAACATCAATCTCGGGTCAGCCAGGGCCTCACTGAGACCCTAAGGTGGTGTTCGAACCCAGCTTCACTCGGAACACGTGACACGTTAGTGTAACTGCAGCTTTCTAACTTTGCTGTTCGACATGGGCGCTGTTAAACTTTAAATTAGTTGAAATGAAATGAAAAATCCAGTTTCTTGGTAGCAGAGCCACAGCTCAAGTATCCATAGCTGCATGCACTCAGCTTAGCACGTCCACCATCACAGAAAGTCCTACTGGGCAACGCGGCTCTAGAATGCCCTTGGAGGTGAGGAGGAGAGAAAAATCTCGTCCCGCAAAGTCCCGCTTTTATTTTTATCTGAGGATGATCCTATTGAGGCCAGCCTGCGATCGCCACCTCATCCTTCCCCAGTGTCAGGGCTGCGTGACGCGGAGGAAGGAAACACGTCAGAACGATGAAACGAAAGCTGGTCGCGCTGCTCCCGCTCCAATGTGCCGCTTCCTAATATAGACCGCGGCGCCCCACCGGGGGGGGGATAAAAGTGGAGATCAACAAAAGTGACAGGAATTTTAACTTGCTAAAGAGCTTTTTGTGAGGAACTTGAAAAAAGGATTTTAAAATAAGATGTTGAAGCTTACATATTACATAAAACAGATGTTATTAACTTATATGACATTTCTGCCTTTCTGAAAGAGATCTGGTGGCGAGTCTTGGGCTTCAATTCACTAGGGCGCATCCAACGAGCTATTCAGAGGCACCTCAGGACTATCCACATCCCCACTTAGATCCCATGACACTCAGCTGTCTCTTAAGCTGTCCAATCCCGAATGTTCTGCTTTGAGGTTATTTTTATCTCTACTGTTGGGATCCGTGAAGGCAGGAGGCTATTGTTTCAAACGTTTGTGCCTCCTGGTGGGAAGAAGCCCTTGCCTTGACCCTGGAAGGTGCTGGATATAAGCAGTTCCTGAATGAATGAATGAATGAATGGGGGCTGGCAGGCCTCTAAGACCTCAATCTCACCCATCTCAACAAAATAATGTATTATTATTTTTATTTTAAAGGAGGTTCACATCTATAATAAAGGCATAATATGCTAATTAAGGGCTGTGAGGGAAGACTGGGTCCCGGGTGCCTGCCGGAGGCCAGAGGGAAGGAAGGCCAACTCTTGCACAAATTTCGTGCATCAGGCCTCAAGTTTATAAATAAAAGGGCTGAATTTCAAAATGCTGATGTTCCTTCGCTAATTTATTCACATTTGCTTCTGAAACAAAAATAAATTACTCAGATCTGTTGAAGTATCTCATTTCAATGATGACTGTAGTTATTCGAAAATGGCAAATACTTTGACAAAATAAGCTGTCGACTGGAGCTGTTCACTTCCATGGAGTTATTCTTCTTTTTGTATCATTGAGTTTTATGATGTATTTACAAGACAAATCTGAGAACAGATTTGAAAACAATACCAAATAAAAGTGAAATGTGCCCTAGCCGGTTTGGCTTAGTGGACAGAGCGTTGGCCTGCAGACTGAAGGGTCCCCGGTTTGATTCTGCTCAAGGGCACATGCCCAGGTTGCAGGCTCCATCCCCAGTAGGGGGCGTGCAGGAGGTAGCCGATCAATTATTCTCTCTCATTGATGTTTCTATCTCACTCTTCCTCTCTGAAATCAATTATATATATATACATATATATATGTGTGTGTGTGTGTGTGTGTATGTATATATATAGTGAAATCTATATTCAGTGTCTAAGAAAAAATTATTAAAATGTTAACCAGCCCCGGCTGGTATCTCCAGTGGTTAGTGTCAGCCCACGCACAGAAGGGTCTCCGGTTTGATTCCAGGTCAAGGGCACGTATCTGGGTTGCAGGTTCCATCCCTGGTGTCTGTGGGAAGCAACCAATCAATGTGTCTCTCTCACCCCCCTCTCTCTCCTTCCCTAGCTCCCTTCCTCCTTTCCACTCTCTCTAAAAAGCAATGGAAAAAATATGCTCAGGTGAGGATAAATAAATAAATATGTTAAAAACATTAATCAAATAAGCTCAACTATTTTCCAGAAAAAAATAATGGAATTACCCTGATTATAACAAAGCTCATTACTTGACAGACCAATGGTATCAGGAATGTGTTTGCCAAGATGTTATTTTACAATGTTAACATTAATTCTATTCCAATGTTATTTTTAAAAGGGGCTATAACTTATTTTTAGCTGTGATCAAGCCCAATAGAATGTCTTCACTGGACAAACTTAAATTGGCATTTAACCACCTGTCCTCCCGAGTTTCCCAGGTCATGCAGAACTCCATTTTCACAGAAACTGGCTGGGGATTCTTTCCAAGTAAGCCCCTCTCCAGGCACCTAGAGTCCAAAGTGAATGCTTTATCCCTGGACTTACAGATAGAGGGCCAGAGGGGCTCTGGAGTCACCCCCTAATCTCTGAGATGAGCAAACAGGCCAGGAGAGGTTGACCAGGCCCCAGAGCCTGCAGATGGTGGGGCTGAGCCTCACCAGGACCTGGCTCTTATTACAACAGCCATTTAACAGCGCCCAAACCAAACCCGATGCTGCCAAAAGGAGATGCAAAATTCGTTTCCAAAGAAGGCTTGTTAGGCTGACATTGAGAACTACTGCAAGCAGTACCTCAAACTGGAAGGTGGCAGGTGTGTGGGAAGGCTGTCACCAGAGCAAGTTTAAGCTTAGCCTTAGCTGAAAACAACAACAAATGTATTTGTGTTGCTGCTTCTGAACACATGAAGGAACACAAATAAGGTGGAAGATGGCAGCAGGGCTCCTGCTTCGCACCGGCAGGCGCTGTAAATCCCTGTACCCGGCGGTCTCCCCTTCTGCCCTCTTATCCTAATTTTGTGGCCCAGATCTACTTGTGTTTCTTCTGAAACAATGAGCTTGGGGAACAATGACAGCAACTCCAAAGCCCGTGGAATTCAGTGGGATCAGGTTTCACCTACTCTGTCAAGTCCAGTTCCTCCCAGAGCATCCTCTCACCCTCAAATCGGCCAATGCCACCACAAGCTCTCCTTGTTCTACCACTCCGCTTCATGCCAACAAACAGGTGCTTCCTGCACCAGGTAAGTGCCAAAATACCATGAGTAAGACCAGGGCAGGGAGACTACTTTAGGGAGTGCGGCATTAGGTCATAAAGTGTTCCCCCTCCTCTGCAATGACTCAGACCAAGCCCAAAGATTAATATGCGAAGGAGCCTCCCCAGCATCCGGCTGCTCTAGCCCCACCCACCCCTAGGGCTCTGGAACTTCATTTGCTGCTGTGGCCACAGTGTCATTTGATGATCAGGTTGCCATGACAGCCCAGTGTAGCTGAAACCTGCCTACACTGCCAATCAGACACACAATAAGCAGAATTCTCTGGGCTTCTGAGAAGACAGCCCCTCAGGATCTGAAAGCTTGGATGCGGCTGAGGTCACCTCCCTCTCCAAACTAATGGCTTTCCGCTCCAACAGCAGAGGAACTGTCAGCTGAGGATAAAGGGGAAACTGGAACAGGTCCTAGAATGAAAGCTCAAAGGGACCTGACTCACGGGCAGACATATTTAGACAGAGGAAGTGAGAGCCAAACAAAGTCGTGCTGCTGGGAAACTGAGAAGCCTGAGAACCAACCTAAACTTCTAAGGTTTCCAAAATGTTTGGGGAGCCTCTTCCTGAGAGAAACGGTGAGGCCAGGCCCCACTGGCCGCTGCTCACAAACCCCAAAGCCTACCACGCGGTGCAGAAACGCTCCCGCTGTTCCAATACTCGGTTTATCTGCTTTTCAGAGTCCACACCACCCAGATGTGCTTCAGCTGATCCATCTCCTTCTCGGGGCTCCCCCCACCCTCCAGCCAGCTGATCTGTCTCCCTTCTGAGCCAGGGAAAGGTGGGTCTCGGGTTCAGTGCCCCGCAATCCTGACTCTGCAGGCCCCGGACTAAGCTGTTCAGAACAGAGAGTCCCGGTGCCAGGCCACCCTGGGAGAGGGCTGGCAGGAGGTGCCAGTGTGAGTCTAGAAAATGGACCAGTTAATTATTAAAGTCAGAAGTAGGTGACTTTAAAAGGGAGCCAGCCAACCTCTTGTTTCCTTGGCCTCAAGGCAAGCTGGCCTGTAGATAAATGTTCCTCACAAAAGGGTACCGCTGCCAGCTCTGAGCTCATCTGAAACAACCAAAAGGCAGGACGAGCGCCTTGGGAGCACGCCGCACGCCGCACGCATACTGCAGACGCCGAGAGGCTGCCGGCCAGGACCAGCTCATTACCGTCTCGGGTTCTCCTCAACGCTTCATCATAAAAGATTGCGAAAGTTGCTGCATCAAAGGTCCCAGCCACTTAGCAAAGGAAAAATGAACATTTATTAAACACAGCAATTCAACGAACATGTTTCAGGAATCTACAATGTGCCAGACACAGGGCACAGTCTCCTCTCGCTGATTTTTATTCTGAGAAAGGAGAAAAGATCCCAAGTAACCAAAGCTCACGAAGTGACAAGGTCACTGCTACTGCAGCAGGAGGCACCTCAGCCAGACGGCACTTTCCGTTCTAGCCCTGAGAACTCCCCTGGTCCCACTGGAAACTGCTTTTTTAAGGGGAAGGGAGACAATACAGGGTAAAGTTCCAGGCTCATGTGGGTGAAGTCTCGCCTCCACCCCTCCTTCATTGTTTAACCCTGGGCAAATTACTTAAACTTTCCGCACCTCAGTTTCCTCATCTAGGAAACGGGGATACCACCACTTACCCTGGCTCTTGTGTAGACAGATAACCCACATTCAGGGCACCAGTTGGAGGGAAGGCCCTGGCACTCAGACCCGCAGAACCCAGAGAGGCACAGGCCTCCGCACCTGCAAACTCCAGCCTCTCCTCTGACCACTCCCTCCTGCGAGACCCAAAGGCCATCCGCCCACCAAGGCCAGGGGTCTGACCATCGCGACTCAGGGCAGGCTGGCCCTGCCCAGCTCCAGGCTGTTGGTTCAACTTCAAAGGTGCACTCTGTAGCTGACTTCGCTCGTCCGTCCCTAAATTGTTCAGATACCATACCATACAAGACACACTCTAGTCACTTGCCTTTACTTTCAAATGACTTTCTGGAGCCAAACTGACAAATCGAAGGCAAATCTTCTATTGCAGTCAACCTCCCTCCCCCTAATGGCCACACTGAAGTGGTCATAATAGGGTCATAAAGCTTTTGCAGTGGCCGCAAAGATTCCGGCTCAAGATTGGGGTTTCTTTATTGTCTGACACTTCTCCCCGGCCCCCAACACCAAACTGATGGACTTACAAGTCCTCGCTTCCCCCCACACTCCAGCTTTTTTCAGGAAAATGTTCCTAGGCCAGTCCCTGAACTCGGAGGTCGTCTCGAGGTTGCCATTACCTTAGGAAACTGCTCTGCAGGTCCGACCACCAGCAAAATGGTGGGTCTCTTTTCCGTGGCCTCAGCCCTGCCGTCTTGTTTCCCCAAAAAGCTTGACATCGGGTCTCCCCGAGCAGGAGCTGGGGCGCCTCTGACTTCGTTATCGCTCCCCTCTGTGGGGCCTTGGCACCCAGCCCTCGGGAAAAAGCTACACAGAAAATGCCACAGCATCTGCAGCATCACGGCTCTCTCCCAGCGGCGCTGACGGTGACCCGTCACTTCTCAGGGGGAATGTGACCACAATACTGAGGGTCGCGGCTACACGGCTGCCGGGGAGACTGGCCTGGGAGCTGTCAGGCTGGCCGCTCTGCATGCAGCGGCGGTTTCCTGCTCTTTCAAATCTGCGAGCTCCGCTGCGTGCCTGGCCTGAGAAACAGCTCGCTCCCAGAGCCCGCGGTGCTGGCAACGCGCAGGGAGCAGCGAGAGCTTCTTCAGGAAAAGCTCACTTCTGCAGGAGGATGGCTCTCAAACGTCTGGCTTTTTAAAAAGAGGAGAAAGCACTAGCCCAACAGACCTCTCCCGGAGGCAGAAGCAACTTCGCGCTCCCAATTATTCATCTGTCCTCGCTCAACTACTGATCCCACAAGCGAGGACCTGAGCATCCAGTCTGCATTCTCACTGCAGCAGGGCGCGGCCAATCACCTCTGCCGACACTACCAAGTTCATTATCCCAACCCGCAACATCCCTCCAATCACAGGCGGCTATTCCCGGCCTGCAGCTCAGCACTTCTGCAGGGAGGTGCCAATGGCAGCCTACAGGCTCGCTGAAGGCACCAGCGCCGGCTCATCCCCCGGAGCCCAACTTCCTCCTCTCCACCTGGGTTGCTTCTGGGATGACATTCACCATCAAGTGTGACATGATCAAGAGTCCCTGATAAGAGAGCTAGCAGCACGCTTCCTTGTTCCGTGATCCCATTCTCTCCAACCATGCGTAACACTGCGCACATCGTGTCCCAGCTGCTGCTCTCCCATGCCGCCCTGCACACGGTGAGCTGCCTGGGGACCGGGACCAAGTGACAGATCTTTCCACCCCTAGCACCCAGAACCGGGCACAGATTAAGTCTGCAGCCTGAACTGAGTAAATTACTAAGAATACAAGGGAATGTGTCTTTGCTCATTTGATTCTTAATTTACTAGCAGATAAATACAGGGACCAACTACTGCCACCCCTCACAAAAGTGGCCCTTTGATACAGTGTTCATAATCATTATTTAAAAAAAACATGAAAAAAGTGTAATAAATGTTGGGAAGAGTATGGGGAACTGAACACCCTCATATGCTGCTGTGAGCGTGCGCATCAGGACAACTTCTTTGAAGAGCAATTTAGTCACAGCTACCAACATTTCAAAAGCACAAACCCTTTGTCATAGCAATTCCACTTTAAGCAATGTATCCTGTAGATATGGTTGCACATGTGAGCAGTTACATACACATGTATATGATATATGTGTGATACATATGTGTGATCAAACATAAGGATATTTTTTGCAGCCTTGCTTATAATAGTACAAGTTTGGAAACAAAGTGCTGTAAAAGGGAATGGGCGGATAAATCACGGCACATCCACACCGTGGAACCCTATGCAGCTGTTCAAAAGAATGAGGCAGCTCTTTACCTCCTTCGAAAGAAAGACTATAAATGGAGCCACTTCAAAATGGAGGGGGAGCTGCCCTCCCAGAGGAACTGCCTTGCGGACCTTACTCCTCAAACCTTTGTAAATTGGGCAAATTAACCTTTAGACCGGGCCTGAAGCAACATTATATTCCAAACAACTATTTGTTCTGACTACCAGACTGAAAATTAAAGACATCTTTAGACTTAGCTTGCAAGCTTATCTGTAGATATACAAGTTCTTTCCTTGGCTTATTGGTACCCATAGAAATCCTTCCTTCTATTGTCATTATGCTCCTTCCCTTTCTCACAAATGCCCTTGGCTTTTACCTCTGAATCAGGTCACTATTTGGGTTTCTGCCTGAATCAGTGCTTCCTGAATGGCTGTGCTTTTGGATCTTAAATAAATACCATATTTTCCCGTGTATAAGACACTATTTTTTTCTGAAAATCCAGGGGCGTCTTATGCATGGAAGTCAGCCTCCGCTGAGGAGGGAGCCGTGCAGGTGCATAGCTGCCCATACCTTGTCAAACAGGCTTCCTCCAATCTCGACCCTATCGTTACTGACGTCAGCTGATGCCGAAATTGGAGGTGGAGGTGAAGTGTGCACAGATGCAACAGGGACCAGAGCGTTCTGAGCCCATAAAGATGTCAAAAAATAAGAAGATCAATACTGGTAAGCGATGGTCTTACTCTCCAAAATTCAAACAGAATAATTAGCTATGCAAAAGAGCATGGAAATAGAGCTGCAGAGAGATAATGTGGACCTCCTCCCACTGAGTGTATGACCAGACAGTGGAGAAAACAGGAAGAACAACTCCTGAAGATGCCAAAAAAGAAGAAGGCCTTCAGAGGAAAACCAGCAAAAATGTTTAAAATATTGATTTCTTACTTTTGGGTTGGAAAAGTGTGTGTGGGGGGATCTTATACATGCGGGTGTCCTACACACGGAAAAATACGGTACTTGTTCTTCTCACTTTGGCTTTTATTTTTAAGTTAACACTCTTATGGAATGATTTGAAAATATCTTGCTAAACGAGAAAAGCAAGGTGCAGAAGAAAGGGGACAATATGCTGCCATTTATTTCTAAGCTTGTACATGTGACGAGTATCTCTGGAAAGACACTAAAATTGAAGAGCTCACTTAAGCGAGCTCTGTCCGTTGTTCTTACATCCAGGAAAACATCCTTTGGAAATGTCAGAGTGATTTTCGTTTCCAGTCCCCTGGGAGGCACAACCACTGGCACCAGAGCACAAACCACAGAATCCCCCACCCCATTATTATCTTGTTGCCCGCATACTATCTCAATGTGCTGTAAACATTAATTATTAACTATCCTGTAGCCACCAAATGTAAAGAGATAGTTAGGGGCAGGGAGGGAACTTGGGGGTTTGAAGGGAGAAAGGCAGATGGGAGATTACTTTCATTGAACATCCTTATATCATGTGAAAACAAATCATGAGCTTATACGACCAAGCATACATACATACATATACATACATACAACAATTATTTAAAAAGAAAACACAAGAAGGGGCATCAAGATGGCCAAGCTAAGAATGACTTTATCTAGAAGCAGTTTTGTATGTTGATTAAATGTATAGTCTCTGGAGCCAGACCCCAGGTTCAAGTCCTGGCCATGACTTGTATGATCTTGGTCAAGTTACTTTTAGCTCTTTGCGCTTTATGCTTATGAGCAAAATAAGAATAGTAATGGAACCATATTGTTAGTTCATAGAGTTGGTAAAGACTAAATTAGATAATACGTAAAGCTCTTAGAACAGTATATAAAGCATTGTGAACAAAAATGGGGCTATGTAATAAACCTGATAATCTCAGTGATCAAAAGTAACCACATTCCCCGATAAATTTAATCCTATATAATAAAAGGCTAATATGCAAATTGACTGAACAGTGGAACGACTGGTTGCTATGATGTGCGCTCTTATAGGGGGAGCACTGCTCAGCCAGAAGCCAGGCTCATGGCTGGCAAGCGCAGCAGCGGTGGTGGGAGCCTCTCCTGCCTTCGCGGCAGCGCTAAAGATGTCCGACTGATGGCTTAGGCCCGCTCCCTGTGGTCATAAGCTGGCAGTCGGACATCCCCCAAGGGCTCCCGGACTGCAAGAGGGTGCAGGCCAGGCTGAGGGACCCCCACCTCCAGTATACGAATTTCATGCGCCATCTAGTAAAGAAATAGATAAGGTAAAAAAAGTAACCACACAGATGGTCTGAACATAAACATTCCTAACTGGCCATGCATGGCAGGCCGTCACATCCAGGACTAGAACTTCCTTAGCAAGGATTAAGCTTAAGCTTAAGCGAGCTCTGTCCGTTGTTCTTACATCCAGGAAAACATCCCTTGGAAATGTCAGAGTGATTTTCTTTTCCAGTCCCCTTGGAGGCACAACCACTGGCACCAGAGCACAAACCACAGAATCCCCCACCCATTATTATCGTGTTGCCCGCATACTATCTCGATGTGCTGTAAACATTAATTATTAACTATCCTGTAGCCACCTAATGGGAAAGAAGTATGTGTTTCTCCATTTTGCTTCTTGTCCAATCCTAGAGGTTTCCTTGCTTGGCTTTCTCCTGCCTCCTTAATCTACCCCAGTGTTTTCAGTGTTTTTCACGTAACCCTCTTTAGGTCTTTGCCTTTGACTGGTGTATAAAATAAGCTGCAAAACTGCAATTCTCCCGAGCACTTTCTCAATCTATCGAGACCTTGCTTCCAGACATGTCCCCCAAAATTTGACTCAAATAAACTCTTATGAAATTTTTCCATAGGTTTGGACATTCTTTCATAACTACTAGCTATTTTATTACCATTATCTAGAAAATGATTGTGAGCTCATGCAACTAGTTCTGCTTCCTTTGTTTTTAAATTGGGCACTGTCCCCATTAGCCTTTATTTGTGGTCTGCCCTTAATTTTGTAATCTTTTCAGGTGTTTTTTTCCTTCAGTTTATGAGTGTCTCAGTGTACTTACGTCTTCTCAGTGTACTTACGTCACTGGCTCCTTTAACAAAAGAAACCCAGAGGGATCAGAAAGCACAGTGGGCTGGAGGGAAGTAGTTTTAATACTGTTAAAGAGAAAACCCACAGGCCCTAAATGGTGTCCCTCGTGCTAGAAGCCCATGACACTAAACCTAGACTTAATACCTGATCTAACTGCAGTTTAAGCCTCTCCCACAAACATAATCTTTCGTAGTCATCCAGTCTGGAATCTTCTGATCAAGCACTAGTAAAGTACTCTGTCACGTGGGTCCTCTCCATCCCCCATAGGAAGAAGAGGCAAGAGACAATCGGCAGATCAAATCCTTGCCTGACACACCCCTGCCAGCCCCACCCTTGCCTCACCCTTCTTCCTATAAAAGCCTTCCATCTTGTACAACTCTCCGGAGTGCCCTTCTAGTTGCTAGATAGGACATTTAATGAAGCCAATTAGATCTCTAACTAGATCTCCAAATGTACTTGGTTGAATTTTGTGTTGTTGTTTTTTTTTTTTAAATACTAAGAACCCATCCAGAGCCAAAAACCCTAACTAAACAAGTAATCCTTTCATGAAAATGAATCTTGTTTTTATGCACTGAAAATCTGGTGAAATGGAGAAGATATAAGAGAAATCTCATATTTGGTTGGTTACTGGCTTTTAATTTAACGGACTCCTACATACCACAGAACTGAGTTATAAACTCAAGATGGAGCTACCAGGGCCAATTCACCTTCCTGCCAATAACAATTAAATGTCCAGACGAAATATATAAAACGATGGTTTTCAAGACACTGGACTTCAGGTGACAAAGGACAGTGACTTCTGGGAGATCTATACAAATGAGCTGAGCCCACGATTGCCCCAGCTTGCTAGCTGGGGTTTCCAGGCTACAGTGTAGAGGATGGGTACAAGCAAAAGAAAGAAAATAATAAAGTAGGGGAAGAAGAGACGGTGTTTTATT